ATAGTTTACCATTTATGTAGATGTCTGTCTCATTCGCTTCAGTGTCCACAAAAGAGATTTAGTTCCTCCTCTCAAATCGTTTGTTGGCATCTCTTGTGATATCGTAGATCCTCTCACCACTTGCACTCACATTCATGATGTCAAATACAAACCATCCTGCAGCAGCAAGAGATTCGTTAACTTACATTGCCAACAATAGCATTGAGAAAGGGATGAGGACCATACGTTATGTTCTCCATTCTAAATCAGTTTAAGTAAGGACCATGGATTGGGTTGCGAAAATCTGGGCCACTCATAATGGAAGGTGAAGAAATAGTGGATCACCTGGTTAACTGCTGCAAGAAGATCACACAGACTGTGTATAAACAATGGTATGACGAAGTAACAACAATGGTACATTGGAAGATCTGCAAGGAAATTCAATTTGTGGTAGGACAGTTTATAGTTGTTTTCCTTTATTTGTATGCCGCCCTTTTCCCTGGGGGGACTCAGGGCGGCTCACAATTCAGAAGGGTGGGGGGGCAAGACAAACAGTATTCCAAACATGGAGACAATACAACATATTAAAAGAAAGCACAACAGTCACACAAATCGGGTGGGGTTAAAATCTTAACCCCAGGCCAGCCGGGACAGCCAGATCTTTAAAGCGGCGCGGAAGGATTGGAGGGTGGCGAGGGTCCGAATCTCCACGGGGAGTTCGTTCCAGAGGGTCGGAGCAGCCACAAAATAGCCAAAGAATTAGAAAATGAAAAAGCTAAAACACTTCAGACCTTTACAATTCAAGCTGACAAGCACCTGCCGTATGACCACCCAGACTTAACATTAAAAAAAAATTGTTTTAAATATAACAGAAGAAATCCCAGTTCAATCTCTCGTTTGGCTTTTTTTTTTCTAGCGTTCTTCCTCTACCGAATGGCTTCAGGCAGGCTGCCCAACTGCCAGCAAGGACTGAGCTTCTCATAAAGGGACTGAACCTACCTAGAAGTTCATTTTATTTCACACCACACGGCAAATTAGCTTTCTTGCTAATTAAGGTTCAGTTTTATATGTGCTAATTGCCCTAAGGTGCGCTTTAAACTGCACTTTAAAGCTTTGATTAAATGAAGGTAATATTCATAAATCTTGCCATGGAAGATCCCCCCCTTTCCCCCAAAATTAGTGCTTTGACTTTCATTATGTATACCAATATATAAGAAAAGATGTGAATGTAAGAAAAACAGCTTTAAAGCAAAGAATGTTGAGATCAACTAACAAATTCTTGTTACTTAAGAGCAAGCTTCTCTAACTGCAATCCTCCACTTACGTCAGAAAAACAATTCACCAACATTTCAATTTAACTTGATCAAAATGCAAGCTGTCAACTCCATCGTGGCTTGAAACTATCAGGGTTAGGATCATCTGGTAAGGTCAATTTGATGTCTCCAATTAATCCTACAAAAATGTATCCCAAATCATAGACAAGCCAAAATCTTCTACCACTCTCTTCTTTTCAATGCCAGATAATGATTTACAGTAAGATTTAGTAGAACGCTTAATTTTTAAGCATTTGTGTATTGCTATTATTTGATGTGGAACCTGGTGGCTCAGTGGCTATAATGCTGAGCTTGTCGATCAGAAAGGTCGGCAGTTTGGCCGTTTGAATCTCTGGCGCTGCGTAATGGAGTGAACTCCCATTACTTGTCCCAGCTTCTGCCAACCTAGCAGTTTGAAAGCATGTAAAAATGCAAGCAGAAAAATAGGAACCACCTGTGGTGGGAAGGAAACAGCTTTCCTTGTGCCTTTTGGCATTTAGTCATACGGGCCACATGACCATGGATAAGTCTTCAGACAGTGCTGGCTCTTAGGCTTTGAAATGGAGATGAGCACCGCCCTCTAGAGTCGGGAACAACCAGTACATATGTGCGAAGGGAACCTTTATCTTATTATTTGATAAGTGCCATTATAAATACACTAAGAAAGCAGTTTTAAACAAACTACTGCCTAAATTCTATTGCATTTCTGTGGTACCCTGGAAGTCATGGCACTTCAATTTAAAAAAAATCCTTTTATATTTTGCAGGATTACACTAAGAAACAAACACATTTGGTTTTTCAAAGTATGCACATTTAAAATCAGACTCACCCAAGGATGTGTGTCCTAATGAGGCATCGTAATGATGAGCCTCATCATGCTCATTTTGTCTTAAAAGGCAAGTTCATGTCATATCTAATAGTCCACAGCTTGCTCCTGCTACTCAATCTGTTTGCGATAGCACCTCAAAATAAACTCTTATTGTGCTTTGGCAAGTTTGGCTCTAGCAGTGGTTGAGTGCCATCTAGAGAAGGAAAAGTGAACTAAGCCATGGTAGAGAACAACAGAAATCCAGCAATTCAGAATGTAATGCTAGAAAAAAAGAACTGAGCTATAATATAGAGTTACAATAGTGAAACTGGTTGAACTTCTCAAATGTTAAAAAGTCAATGGTGAACTATGTATCAAAGCTTTGGAATTTGCTTATCAGGAATTATGGTTCTACCCAGGGTGGAGGCAGCTGAGGGAAACGTTGAGGAATTGGAATGTAGTACTATTCCAAACCGTTAAAGAATGTTTGTCAAAAATGGGTGATCTATCTCTTTTGGAAAAGGTAATATGTTCTATAAATCAAAACAATGCAGCAATGTGAAACTGTGGTAGACATGTTGATATTATACAATCATATTTTATTGCACTATAGTCATTAATAAACCAATAATGACCAATAGTCTGAAAGGTCATTCTTTTAGAGATATTTCCTTATCAGATTCCTCAATACCTTCCAAAATGACAAAAATTCTAATGTACTGACTTCACTGGAAAAACAGATAGTCAGAGATATACTCGTTTTGAAAATAGTCCATGTTGAATTATTAGTATTATGTCATAAACTGTTTTATGATCATTTTTGTCATAAAATACTATATTTTATAAAATTTAAATTCCAGTGTCATGGGTTCCCAATTTTGGATCCATTGTGTAAGTTAGCTCATTTGAGGTACTTTTGTTCAAACATTATTGCCTTCATCCAGTTAATCATTAAGAGTACGTTTAAGACAGTTTTTTTCTCTTTTAGTTTGTAGCTTATTTGGGGATTCTCTTTTCTAATTTTTAAAATTAGCTTTAGATTGTTGTGTAAGCATAAAACAAATACATAAAAATCAGTGGAAGTAGTAGACTAATTGAATTCAACGTACTTTAAAAATAAACATTTTTCAGAGGTACAAATCATTTGTTAAACTGGAATTTATAGGAGATTGTTTTTGCAATGATCTATTTACCTTAATGAGCAGAAAATCAGTTTTAGGTTAAATTATTTGGGCATGGAAATTGATATTCTAGTTTATAAGACACGAAGAGTTATTCAAGTATCATTCACGCCGATAAGAAACATAGACTAAAAACCAGGGACAACAGCAATTTTCACAGCATCGTATCTTATTCCATGCTAATGTCTTTGATCTAAAATGAAATGTTAATAAAAGAAACCAGAAAAGTAATCCCAGGCAGTCCAAAGTTTATTTCTCATAGGTGAGAAAAAAAAGTACAATGGAAACCAAACTGCATGTATGGTATTGATTGTATATAATCTTTGTATGTAGCATTGCCTTCAACTCGGGTTGAATATTGGCAGCAGCAAGGTTTGCTCATTCCTAGTCTCCATCCTTCTTAGCCTTCATTCTTTGTAGAAATCACTTTGCATCAGACCTTTCTACCCCCCCAAAGGCAATCCAACATCCCCCCCCCTGCTCCAAAACGACAGGTAGAGCAGTATAGCAATGTCCACAGGAATAACATTTTTTAAAAACAAAGAATTCCACATTTAAAAAGTAATTCAAAAACAATCACAACAAATGGAATCGTATACTAATCTCAAATCTTTTAAAATGGAATGAGGCAACAAGGAAGTTAGAAGGCAAGTCTAGAAATCTACAAATGGGAGCAATTCTGTGTCTTTTCAGTATCAAGATAGTAGCAGTGCATCTCTTCAATTCAGCAGCAGTGAAGAAAACACTTGGATGGGACAGATCTGATCCAGAATACACAGCTTCCTTTATTTCTAGCAGCCTAAGGCTAGTTGCCGTGGAAAGTAAAGCACAAGTGCATCATCCCTGCAGGCTAATGATGCTTTGAGGCAATATATTTCATTAAAGCTAACCAATACAGAACAGGCCATGAATGAAGACTTTCTTGGATTTCTGAACTAAACTAACATGAAAGTATCAGATCACAGATGTCTTTCCTGTCCCAGAAAAGAGTTAATTAAGGTGTTCATCTACTCAGCTTAGTCATGCATCTTTTAACATGCCATATTTATATATTTTAAAAATATTTAGGCCAGAATCCAAGCTGTGTGCTGAAGCATTACAAGAACGAGTAGATGCAATCGCAGCTGCTGATCTTCCAAAGGCATATCCCCAGATCCAACATTGCAGGGATTACTCCATACATGGACCAGTTCATCTCAATGTTAGGGAATGTCAACACAAACTCTAGTTTTGCAAGATAGATATGGATGCCCATCCGGTGAACAATAAAGATACCCAAGTATGTCATCATCTATCAGAAGTGTGTCTGTATATTAAACTGTTTTGTAAACCTAATGCCTAACTCTAGCAAGGTGAATAGGAATCTTATTATTGACTTTAGCAGAGCCATGATCCTGCATTTTCCACTATCTGCAAAACAGGAAAGGCTCTTTGAAAAAGTGAGAATTATTTATATATATATAAATGTTCCTAAGGACAGTAAAATTGGCCAGCTTTGGACTTGAATATAAAGGGAGGAAAACAACTGGTCTGCCTTTCTGCAACTGACAAATAATAAAGAAATGGAACTCAGTGAGGGAACCGATATTTGAGAATTATGCAAATATATGTGTGTGGAAGAACCAGCTCACAATTTTCAAAATATGGATGAGAAACTAGCTTTACTTGGATCCCCCCGTCCCACCCCAACATGCACAGATTTAGCAGAGTTGCAACGAATAGGTTATAGCAATTTTTAATGCAAGGGTCACACATTTATGAGTGGGGGGGGGAAGGGCTTTCCACAGCTTAGCAGCTGCAGCGTAACTATTCAAAAAAGCAGATCTTGCGTAGCACGTGAGTGGTGCAGATTGTGGTGGCCTTTTTTTCTATGTACAGTCCTTTGATTTGTATGCTGAAGCCTTTACAACAGATCAGACCTTGGGTGTGGCACTCTCAAAGCTAGTAATACCTCCCAAACAATGGCAAGGGTGTGGGTTCTCGTTTAATTGATCACCTTGGACAAGACTCTTGGCATAATGTGACTCACAGTCCACTTGGGACACAAAAAGGAAGCCAAGGCAAAGAAAATGCAATTTTCACTTCTGACATCTTAACATTTAATACTTCATGTCCTTTTCAGGGAAAGTCTAAGAATCGACATTAAAGGTTTATTCTATGATTATTTCATAAGAAACAAAAAAAGGGGGGAAATCCAGGAAGACTGTGTGAGTTTGTATATAGTGTTCCTTGTTTTCTTTTTTTTCTTTTTTGTTTAAATAGCAATGCTGAATGGTGCTTTCCTGGAACAAGCACTTTATCAGGCCAAGGAGATTGTTGTAAAAGTGTCAGCATGTATTTGGCTTTGAATCTAAGGTCAAATTTTACTATTATTGGTCACAAGGCCTACATGATATACTTCAAAGAAGGAACTGTCTTATGTAAAATACTGTAGCCGCCAGAAAACAAAGGGCGATACGCTTAGGTAAATATCTGTTGCTATGTTAATAAGTACTGTATGGACACAATCCATACATAATAAGATTGTGAATTCAAAGCATTCAACAGAATTAAATATTATTTTAAAAACACTACCAAAATTTGGAATACGCTTTGTAACAGTCAGCCATCTCAGACTCAAAAATGGAAGTGCTGCTTCCTAAAACTGAATATAAGCACAGAAGGGCTTAGTTACCAAAAAAAGCAAAGGCAGTATAGCAATCAAAGAGTTATGCTGAAGAATGCAAAAATGCAAAACGAAAGTAAAAACACACAGCCACGGGCATATAAACCAACTGGCTGACAGTTAACTTTGGATCATACTTCTCAACTAAACCAAGATCTTCATAAGGCCTTCACTCTACCGCGGGGCCTCTCCAGAGCAAGCAACTGCTTTGCCTTTGAAACCTTTTCAACTGTCTTGAGTGTCAAATGCAGAGTCAAGCCAATTCATGGCAAGGGACAGGCAGCTAATGATTTGCAATACACAGATGAATTCCCTCTTAACAAAGTCCAAGACCTCCGATGACTGAAGAGTTTGTTCCCTTCAAATCTCCTCCTCATATCTTGTTGACCTTCAAGTAGGGAATTCAGATCCAGGCCCAGTCTTCCTTCTTTGCTCTCAGGCACAATTCTGGGAGAAATCTAGAAACTGACAGTCTCTCTCTCTCTCGCTCTTTCTTTCTCAGTCTCTTTCCTTATCTCTTGCCAACCCCATTCGTTACTTTTGTTTTTGAATGACGATTCCTCCTCCTGGATGAATGGCTGTCACTGTTGCTTGCGTGTTTGGGTGGACTGTCTTCCATTTCTAATAAACAATTGGACAGATACACAAAAGCACAGAAGAGATAATCACTTAATTTACTGTTTGGTTTGGTTTTTCAGTCAAGGGAAATTCTGGATTAAGAATACATATTGAAAGTTTAGTTGAAACCCACATGCCATCTAGTGGTTAAGCTGCCTTCTAACTAATTTTACAAGTCATTAAGCGAGCTGATTATTGTGGAACACTCATGCGGGCTACCTTTTAAGCGACACCACAAAAGATCTGCTAAACCTTGAAAGGCCAAGATCCTGCTGGATAGATGTACTTGGTGTAAGCTTATATATTACCAAATTTTATGGAATTTTAAATATCATGGCAATATAAATAAATTTTAATTATTATCACATTTTTGTAATGTGTATGAAATAGTATATAACCTAGATACATTTTTCTCCTTTTGGACTTAACTCACAGTTCTAAACAAGTTTTTTTTATAGATGTATTTTAAATATCATGTTAAGAATACATCAGTTCCATCATATACACAGCAGAGCATCTTTGGAAAGACGCCACTGGAATCCATCAACTATCCAGAAAAACTGAAACAAAAGCTGAATTCTGGTGCTCCCTTCCTGCTCCTGTTAATATAGGTATGGAAAATGCTGGAATGCTGTGATGTTGAGAAACTACTTTAATCATTCAAAGAAAAGTCTTTTTTCCTTAGAGTTTTTCACAACGTTTTGGTGCAAAAACCTACTGCTGAACACAGATCCTTCCACCTGTTGAACATGGGGCTACAGCAACTACCGTATTTTTCAGAGTATAAGACGCTCCAAAGTATAAGCTTTAACCTAGCTTTTGGGGAGGAAAACAAGGGAAAAATATCTGCCTCTGCCTCCCAGCAATTTGCCTCCTGGCAACAAACAGCAAACGGTACAGACAATATACACTGTTTGTAGTGTTACATTTCAGACTATACTTATACAGATGCTGTTAAAATTGATGTGCTTTCTGGAAGTATGGTTATTCTCTGCTATTTAAAAGAAGATACAATAACACTGGGCCTCTTCAGATCAAGCATTTATTTTAAAAAGCTTCTTCATTTTGTTAAGCTGTCTAGAACAATAATAAAGCAGTCTTTAAAAATTAAGTCTAATAATTTGAACATTCTATAGGCATTTATAGTTATTGACTTACCTCCTTGCAGCAAACGGCCTGATTAGCACAAGAAAAAAAAAATCTCCCTCTGCCTCCCAGAAATTTGTGTCCTGGAGCAAACAGCAAGTTTCACTTTCAATTTCAGCAGGCCTCAATCATCAGCAGGCTGTTTCAGGTTGCAGGGATTGATACAGCCTATTGCAGCCTCCACAAGCCCCATTTTCCCCGTTTGTTGAAAGGAGGTAAATTGCTGAGAGGCAGAGGCCAAAGTTGGGGGGCCGTGAGTGGGTGGGGCTACATTCAGTGTATGAGACGCAACCAATTTTTCACCCTCTTTTAGGGGGGGGGGGGGAAGATGCGTCTTATACTCTGAAAAATATGGTATTTAAATTATTAAGTATATTTCTAGCACCTTCGTTTATTATTGCATAAACAGTTTGGGAGTCACAATAACTCCAAAGGCCATCGAATAAGGTTTCCATGCAGATGATGGAACTGACTGACCAGGAGCCACAAATGTTTACATAATAATACATTAGCCTTTACAATTCCTCAAAATCTTCTGGAACAGACAGATCAGGTTAGTCCTCTAGAATTACTCAATAGATAAAATAATGCATAGTTATATACAGCTCTTGTTAAATCCCTTTAATTCTTGAGATAATTACAATAGACCCTAAGAATACTATAGAGAAAATCAGGCAGCAAAGGGTATGAAGCCAGATTGTGTGAATTCACAAGTGATTCATGAAAGCCTGAACTAAATGGAATTTTGGTATTATTGATATGACAAATAAATATACCAGAGCAAGTGACAGGACTTCCAGTGATTTTAGGATTATGCCAGGAAACATCCGGGATGTACAAACTATCTTCACTTTCCGACAATGTCTGTTGAGATAAATGTAATAAATGTAATGTTTGATAATACTTGTAGCAAAGAAACACTATCAGTTTAATAAATGAGATAACTAAGTTAATATTTGGAATTCACTTTTTTAATTTCTTCTTCAATTATATGAATTTAATCAGCAAGTAAGAAAGGAACTCCTGCTCTCATCTGTAACTGTATGCAGATGACCGGTTGAGCCCGAGGGAAGGGTCAAACATGTTATAAGTCATGAGTCCCTGCACACTCACAAGAAATCTAAGTCCACCCCAACTTGAATGTCTTAATTCCTGTTCATTTCCCTTGACCGTTAGTAACTCAGATTTATGTAGAGAGCTTAAGCTTGCAATAAATCTTTATACTCATTTGAACTGCCTGAATCTCCTCTTGACCACAATCCTGTTTGACATTACCTTTTGCACTGATTGTTTCCTCTCCAACTCTACTCCGTGAGAAAAAGTATGTGGAATGCAGAAAAAGACAATCAAGGACAGATTTAGACCTAAGAATTCTGCCTCAATCATAGAAGAGAGCTCAGAAATGATGAATGTGCATGTTTGCACATCAACCAAATAACCAGTTTCCTCCATTTTTGTACTGCTTGAAACCAGAAGCCTTCAGAAAGTTAAAAGCAGAGAGTAGGAGCAATAGCCCTCTGACTATTGCTCCTCTGTTGCATATTGTCGCTGGACATTTTTATTTAATGTATAATCCAATCTCCCTTCTCCAAAATAGTAAGAAAAATAAATTTAGTCACAAATTATGTCTCTATGTAAAAGTTCACCTAAATGTCGACAAGTTATGGCTAACATGTTTTAATATGTTTACCCAGAGGCAGGGGTGGGTTTCTCGCCCCGTTCCAACCGGTTCGGTTGGAACGGGGCCGGCAGCGTCCTCATGCACGTGCGCGGTGCACGCATGCGTACTAGCGTCTGCGCGACGCTCCAGCTGCTCCTGGAGGATCGCGCAGGCACTGTATGCGTCCTGCGCATGCGTAGAAGCGCAGAACTCATCAAAACCGAGTAAGGACCGTGGGCGGGCGGGCGCGCTCTTCGCTGTTCCCAGAAGTTAGTTACTTCCGGGTTCGCCGACCAACCGGTTCGCAGGGACCGCTGCGAACCGGTTGAAACCCACCCCTGCCCAGAGGGCAACAGTCTATAATGCAAGCAGTCTCATGAGCCAAGTTTAGCATTTCTATAGACATTACCTTTTCTCGTCCATAATGGTCCGCATACCACACCATCCCATATAAACACAAAAAAGTCGTAACTGCCTGTAACAGAAGAAAAAGAAGATGGCCTTGAGTTGCTCTTTTAATATTTATTTTTAAAAGGAATTTATGCCCAATCTCTGATGGTATGACATGCCTTGCTAAAAGAGACAATGACGGTATTAAAAATGGAGGTCTTTTTTCTATACAGCAATTAGAAAAACTGCTAATATTGCAATAGTTGTTTTTTTTTTAAGTAAGATGCACTTTTACTTTTCTGACCTTGCTTTTACTAGGTAATAAGGCTTCTTATGTATGTGTAGACCTATGTTTGAATCTAAGGTCACTTAAAACACTGAAACAAATACAGGACACTATATTGCAACCCTTTACACTGACTTCAATATTGTCAGATGATTTATGAGCCCTGATTTTTGTTCCCTGTGCCATATGCAAATATATTTGGAGAGCTACTTTTCTAAATAGGTTAATCAGAATCAATGGTTAAAACCAGTGGTGGGTTACGACCGGTACGCCCCGGTACAGGCATACCGGTGCCTGCTGGGAGCACCAAGTACCGTTCCGGTATGGTGCTCCGGAGGGCCCACCTGCTCGCCTTACCTGTATTTGACTCAACCGGGCCAAATTTGTGCACATGCACGGAGTGTACGGCGCTTGTGCAACGCTCAGCCAAGCAGCTGGAGATCACGGGTGGTTGATATGCATACGCGCACTGCACATGTGATGAACGCCCGGCCAGAGTACCATTTGCAACAGGATCCAGAACCCACCACTGTTTAGAACAGATTCAAGAGACTTTCACACACTAGAGCTTTGAAGACTGGTTGTAAATCTCCTTTTTCTGCATGAGGCAGTCATTCACAGAGGACTATCTGGTTTCACAATGTTGGCAATTCTGTGCTTGGAATGCTCAACTGCTAAAATGAAGAATGCCACAGAGAGCCTTCACAAGGGCAACAATATGACAGAAGCTTTCTATGCAACTGCACCACTATGCAGATATTCAAAAGGAAAACTGCAGATTGTGAGAGCCATACTGGGAACTAGAAGGAAAGATCGTATTTCCAGTGAAAGAAATCTCATTCTGATCTCCTGCTGTCTTTTGGTGCCAAATTTTGGAATGATGCTGTGAATGATATCATCAAATGGCTACCAGGATGGAATTAGTTTACCATGAGGAAACAATCTTTACAAAGCACTGATTTATCAGACTTCAGTAGTACCAATTTGTATTACTCCTGCTTAAGTTAGTATCTTAAAAAAATAGAATTATGAATAGGGCTATGATTACATTTTATAAATTGTGCTGATCATGACTTCGATTAAATAATTAATCACCCCTTGCATTGTAAAAGTTTGCATTTTGGTCTGTAGACTGTTGCATTTTTAATTTTTATTCCTATTTATTGTTTTTTAAGTAGTAAGCCACTCAGAATCTGCTTTGTGGTAGGATGTAAACCTATTAATAAATATTGAAGAAAGTAAATCTTTTTATACATAAATTTCTATGTAAGAAATAAGATTTAAGTGGGTTTTTGCATTCTGCTTGTTTTGAACTCCCACAATTTCTATCCTGCCTGGAGCTGAACAAAGTTGAATCAGGAGTGAAATTCAGCAGGTCCTGGAAAACCGGTAGCAGAAATTTTGAGTAGTTTGGAGAACTGGCAAATACCACCTCTGGCTGGCCCCAGAGTGGGAGGGAATGGGAATTTTGCAGTATCCTTCCCCTGCCACGCCCACCAAGTCACGCCCACAGAACCGGTAGTAAAAAAAATGAATTTCACCACTAAGTTGAAGTATAAAATATCTGCAGGATTTATTGTCTTTCATCCTGTCACATGGGTCTTTTCCTATTATGTGAGAGAATGAATATTTGGTGACAGCATGTGGCATTGTAATTGTTGGTCTATATTGAACATTATAAGCTTATTATGAATTTATCAGCATGTATTTAGTTAAAAAAATGTAGTTATTTTCCTATTTAGCAATCTTAATTAGTGAAGGGAACTGAGAAAGGTGCTATTGAGGGAAAAAAGTGTTCCACTGGAACAACACAGCTATCTAAAATAGGTTATTGCTATCCTAGCAAAATTTGATATAATATTTACCTATAGCAAGGGAATGAAAATAGCATTATAATAACCAACGAGTTAGAAACAACTTATCTTAAATAGACATGTGATTTCTGGGAGGTGTTATCCCAGCAACTCTGCAAGATGCCAAGTTAAGAAATTGGGTAAAAATATAAATGTGTGCAACCTAAAGGAAAAAAGATGCACTTACCACACAAAGAAGCCAAAATATAACATACAATATTTGTGTTTTGGAGAAGAGATCTTGACCAAATTTGATGCAGACAATAGCTTCAAGGAAACCAATAACTCTAGAGAGATGAGGGGGGAAAAAAATCAAAATATATTGAATTTCTGTTTGAGACTCGATTTATCCCGACAATGTCAACTTGTTTTTGGCGTATTGTGAGAAACATTTTCTCATCACTGTCATGTTATGAATCAGAAAGCAAGATGTAGGGATCACCCACCCACCCCATCCCCAAAATAATTGCACAACTAATTGGATCACAGTGTTTTATACTGAGCTGGCACTGCTTTTTTTTCTTGCCCTTTCCTTCCACAACAGACTTTCTCATAAGTTTATATTGGCCTCTTTCAGTGTTTTATTAATATATTTTCTCGCTATGTGAGAAAGCTAAACTATCTATACTGACCAGAATATTCATACTCATTTTTAAAACCTCTCTTCTTGATTTTCAACAGATGCCAATATAAAGGATCTGCTTTCCTTCTGAGGATGAAGTCTGCCATGACAATAAAATCAAAGGCAATTAAAAAAAAACAGTCTTGAGTTCTGTAGGCCATTTGCCATCATTTGTCCAAGAATACCAATGCCTAGTGCAGTCTTGTTGCTGAAGGCGAAGACCCCATCCATTAAATTATGTCACTGTATTGTTTATGGGAGAGATGCTCTTTACCTAACTCTTCCGATGTGACCTATCCAGTATGGTTGAAATTCTGGCACAACTCGTATCTACTTTACAGCAAATAACCACATCAAGATAGTACCTCACTGGGAGATTACTGTTATTATTGATTGTTTTATCACATACTATGAGTAGCCAAGAGCCTTCTAATTAGACTGCCTCAACTGTCAAAACATATTAATTTGGTCTAGCGCAGTGTTGGCAACACTTTTTGGCACAGAGTGGCGGAAACCGGAAGAGCAACTGCCTTGTGTGCATGTATGCACAGGAAAGATGATCTTTCAGTTTTCTGGTCTTCCAGTTTCTGGTGCACACATGCACACATGAAGACCATGCACACTGCAAACTGAAAGATCATCTTCCCAGTGTGCGCATGCGCACTGGGCGGCTGCTCTTCCAGTTTCTGGAGCTCCCGCATGCGTGAAGACCAGATGGAAGCCAGAAGAGCAAGGGATGATGGCTCTGCATGCCACTTCCAGCACATGTGCCATAGGTTCACCATCATGGGTTTAGCACCTCTCCATTCTTCATTATTTTAAAGTCATTGTGATTCTAACAAAGATTCACTCCAAAAAGCAAGAATATTCTTTGACGATGAATCTTTTTTCTTTCTATCTTTTTTTGTCAGAAGAATGAGTAGTAGCTATTCTGAATATAATGACAAGAGGCACTGAGGGTAGATCAGAACAAAGGAAGTGATGACAGGAAAATGTTCCCAACTATCTCTAAGCCAGCTGAAGAAATCAGCATGTTTCTAGTGTAAAACAAGCTTTTCCAAAAGGCCGGAGCATGCTGAATCCTGCTATTTCTGTAACTTCATAATTTGAAAATCTTTTGAAAGGCTAACATATTTTAGATGGGTATTGTTTACTTTCCTCTCTTGTATTTGCATGCAAGAAAGAGAATAATGGTTTCAAACAATAGCCTGAAATAGGTCTAGATATCACACAATTCAGCCCAAGCTTTCACATCTTTCTCCAACAAATGAGAATACAGCTGGAGAATCCAACAAAAAGCAGAAACCTATCGGGGTTGCTGACCTGCTCTCCTCTTTAGCAATCAATGTGGTTGATTGAAAAAGAGAGCCAATCACATACTCTTGAAGAATATTTGGGAAACTAATTCTTCCTCAATGCTCAAAAGATGTGTTTTTATATTTTTGCTGAAATCAGAACTCTGTTACAGTCCTCGTACAGTACATAAAAGTTAACAACAGAAAGCCTACAAGCTTGAGAACCACAAGCAGAAGCTTGACAAGGGAGTTGGATCGTCCTCTCCTTCCTGCAGCCTCCTACAGACATGGAAAACCACACCTGGAGAGTCAAATGACTCCTCGGCATGGTGTCCAATGGGGAAAAGTAGCATGGGAAAAGGAAATTGCTCAAGCTAAAAACATATGCAAAAGCACAAGGTGCGTGTTATCCCCTCTCTGCACAGGTCTTAGGATTCTTCTTTATGCCCTTGTAGGTCATATGGACACTACAAAATACATACAAGAAGTAAAGTGAAGTATAGTGTGGTAAAATATCTTATTCACAAGAAACCTTCTAACATGATTTGAGGGGATTTGTTTCCTCTTCTTAATTAAATAGATTATGGTATATTCAACAAACTACCGTTAAAAGGTAACGGTAAAGTTTTCCCTCGCACATATGTGCTAATCGTTCCCAACTCTGGGGGGCCATTTTCAACTCTGTTTCAAAGCCGAAGAGCCAGAGCTGTCTGAAAACGTCTCCATGATCATGTGGTTGGCATGACTAAATGCCAAAGGCACACGGAACGCTGTTACATTCTCACCAAAGGTGGTTCCTATTTTTCTACTTGCACTTTTTACATGCTTTCGAACTGCTAGGTTGGCAGAAGCTGGGACAAGTAACAGGAGCTCACTCCATTACATGGCATTAGGGATTCAAACCGCCGAACTGCCGACCTTTCTGATCGACAAGCTCAGCGTCTTAGTGACCGACCCACTGCGTCCCTTATAAATTACCATTAGTAGTTTATAAACTATACTTTCCAAACTAGAATGACCAAGCTTACACAATATACTAAGCCAAAATCATCTGGTGGCTTAAAACGATGCATGAACCCAGCCAATAAGTCAGATAACCAGAATTTGAAGGATTCTATATTCAACAACTTACCCAAATACCCAGCACTGAGTTCCCACTCTTTTGCACTGTGTGTCTGTGAGATAAGCGTAGTACTGCCTGTAATAACAAAAACAGTGATGTTTTAGGGAAATAGACAACTCAAAATTATTTAACTGGTTGCCTGTAAATAAATCTGTTTTGCAGGTAAAATTACGACTATTTTTTCAGTAATGGTTTAATAATAATTCTTTATTGTCAGTGCACAACATATGTACAATGAGATTGGTTGAGCTCCCTCAGGTTTGAAATTACAGCTGAGCTGAACAAATGGCACTTATGCCTACTCCGGAAGGTACGGCTTTTGCAGTACTCCTGTGGTCACGTGATCAAATTTTGGGGGCTTGGTGGTGCACTGCAGAAACACTTCAACTCTCCCACACATCTCCTCCCATCTCTGCCCTTTTGCCCCATACTGCAGCCAGCCGCGACAGCGCTAAGTTCCTGCTGCCCTGCGGAGCTATTGTTAGCCGCCAAATTAATAATTGTGCAACGCTGAAAATGTCTAGATAACATAACAATTGAGTTGTACATTAATAAGATCTTTTCAATTGCTACATTAGGAAAAAATGACAAGCACATTAAGGAGACCTTAGAAGCAAGAACCACCATTATATCAATCTTGGATGGTTTTTATGATTTATCTCAAGAGCAGTAGACTACAATCTGGTATACACCATACATACGGCAATTTTTCAATTGTATAATAACTGTCTCTTTATTTACATTGCAGTAGATCTCCTTGGCATTCTGGGTACGTATGCTAAACCATCATTAATATTTTTTTTTCTGTAGCAGGCTTCCATCTCTACATATGGTAGTAAATTTACAATGATGAACATAAAACAGCCAAATATTACCTCACAGTTGGTGCTGTAATAATTCCAATGAAGAGAATCCTACACCAGCTTAAAGGATGACTTGCTTGAAAAACAAATATATGTTTCAAGAAAAAGGTGTTCAACTCTGTCAACTAAAAAGAGAGCAAAATCAATATATTCCTCTGGACAAACAAGATAAAAATAGAGCCATAGAACAAGTCTGACTTGTTCCGGAACATAACATACACTTAGATAATAAATGCATAGCTATTTAGTTATATAGTGACTTGGTCAGATAATATATGGTATATATGAAATTAATATATACAACATTTATGTAGCAGCGAATGAAGAATTTGCATTTTATTTCTCTCCATTAGAAGAATGAGATTTTAAATAGTCTCATTTTATTGATAAAAGAAAGCACATTCATTTTCTGTTTTATTACTATGGAATTGTGAAATTATAGATGTTCTGAAACAATACAAAAATTGGCTGATATGGGGTGTGGGGTGTGCCAGAGACTGAAGTCCCATCCAGGCGGGATGCAGACAGCACACGAAACCATGGTCCTTCCAGTAAATGGAAAAATTAAGATTAAGAATATAAATTTTTGCATAATAAAAATAGGAATAAATACACACGTGGAAAAAAAAATAAACATTCAATCATTTTAGGAAAAAGCTAAGTAGTTGCATGTATGACTTAAGTACAGTATTTAAGTACAGGCAGCACTGCTTCCTGTATGAATAATTTGTGTACTGTATTTTTCAGAGTATAAGACACATCAGAATATAAGACACACCCAGGTTTTGAAGAGGTAATTTTTTAAAAAGTAGGTAGGTAGATAGATAGATGGCTAGAGAGGGAGAGAAAGAGAGAGAAATATAGTAGGTAGGTAGGGAGAGAGAGTAGTTAGGTAGGTAGGTAGATAAAGGGAGGGAGAGAGAGAAATAGAGATACATATAAATACAGTAGGTAGGTAGGTAGGTAGGTAGGTAGATGTTTCCAGGTGTATTTATCCATGTTCTGGAGAAGGAAATCACTGACAACCTGTAGCACCTAAAACTCATCAACCACTCTAACTAAACAGCTTTCTGAAAGGGGAAAAAAAGCTTTTGCACTCTGCAAACCTCCCCTGTTTGTTTGTTTTTTTCAAATAAAAGGCATGAATAGCCTTGGGGAGGCTTGCAAAGTGCTCCTGGAAGGGGGGGGAGAGCAAAACACAGCCCGTTTTTTGCGAAAGTGGGCCTTTTTTTGTCCAAAGAAATGCATGCATACCCTTATGGAGGCTTATAGAGTGCTGCTGAGGGTTGGGGGGGGGGGCAAACAACGGCCCATTTTTGGCTCATTTCTGCCTTCCCCAGCCCCCAGGAGCATTCTGAAAGCCTTCTACAGGTGGTGCACGGCCATTTTGGTGATACCGGCAGGGCTTCAGGAGGCAAAAAATGCTGTATTCGGTGTATAAGACTCACCCAGATTTTCAGCCTCTTTTTACAGGAAAAAAGGTGAGTCTTATACCCTGAAAAATACGATACTTAGCTGACCAAGTTAGCAAGTTATCTCACAAGAAGCTCATAATCTTATTTCTTTTGTGAATACCTTTCCCTTTGTATTTATTTGAAGAGAATTCTCAGGCTTGAATATTTCCTTATATGCAAACTATGGCACTCCTATTTTTAAACAAACATATGTATAGCTAACATTTCCCTGGAATTCAACCCAGCAAAGGCCTGAATTCCATAAATGATATTATTTCATTTGGTTATGGATTAATAATACAATAATACAATAGCAGATTTGGAAGGGACTTTGGAGGTCTTCTAGTCCAACCCCCTGCCTAGGCAGGAAACCTTATACCGTTTCAGACAAATTTAAAGACTTGCAGTGTTGGGGCATTCACAACTTCTGGAGGCAAGCTGTTCCACTTATTAATTGTTCTCACTTTCAGGAAATTCCTCCTCAGTTCTAGGTTGCTTCTCTCCTTGATTAGTTTCTACACATTCCTTCTTGTTCTATCCTCAGGTGCTTTGGAGAATAGTTTGACTCCGCCTTCTTTGTGGCAACCCTTAAAGATATTGGAACACTGCTATCATGTCTTCCCTAGTCCTTCTTTTCATTAAACTAGATATACCCAGTTCCTGCAACCGTTCTTCACTAGGATTCCAGGATCCCTCTCACAGTTACTACTATTGAGCAAGGCATCACATATACTATACCTGTGCATTTTGTTTTTCTTGCCTAAATGTAGAACCTTATTTTTTTCACCATTGAATTTCATTTTGTTAGATAGTGTCCAATATTCAAGTTTGTCAAGATCCTTCTTAAGCCTATCTTCTGGAGCATTGGCTATTCCTGCCAGCTTGGTGTCATCTGCAAATTTGATCCAAATCATTGATGAAGATGTTGAAGAGTACTGGGCCTAAAACAGAGCCTTGGGGTACTCTGCTGCATACATC